TATCACGTTATTCTGCATCATGAAGTTGACAAGCAACTGCAGGTCTGCCAACTTGTTTGCCATCCCTTTCATCTCACCGTATCTCCTCATGCATCTATCCTTCCATACCTAGAGGTCACTTTCATTGAAGTACTCATCTTGGCCAGCTTTCTTCGGGGCATGCCCCTCTTTGTCGACGTCCCTCTCCCCAAGATTCAGATCCTGTGCTTTTTCATTACTGTTTTCTTTCCCGACGTTAGGATCTCTATGTTCACAACTCTCACTGTTAATGTCATCTCAAATCTTTTCTTTCTGTCCATCGCTGGCCATCTATTCTCCTTAAGTTCTCATAGACAGTGCCAAATTGTGGGTGTTGATTGACCACACAACCAAAAGAGGAACTCAGCTGGAGAGTACTGGCAGAATAGATTAAACCCAACAACCTGCACAAGAAGATGAGAATCCGGCGGTGGTTCGTCCACCAGGGGGGACTCCAATGATCAAGTCAATAATCAATATCTCTCAAAGATAGTAAATCGTGCTTAAACTCACAAGAAAAAACTTACCTCAGACCCACGAGGGTGCCCTGCTTTTATAACCAGCAGTGACTTGATCCCTTTAGAAGCCTCATTTCAGTGGACTCAGGCTCAATGCTCGTCCTGGACCCCTATATAGATAGAGATAAATTCTTCTTGAGCCTTATCTTTATCCAGAATGAAATCCTCCCATGTTCTAGGACTCTTGTCGCTTATCTGTTTATCTTGAATTCCGCTAACTTCGCAAATGACCTCGGCCTAGCCGAGATCATCTCGGCAACATGACCAAGCCACGTAGCACCTCGGCTAACACTCCAGCATCACTTTAACCACGTGCTGCCATTCACAAAATACTTCTCCACAAAATACATATCAAAAAATAACACCATCAAATTTATGTTCAAAAATTACATATACATAATATTATATAATTTTTGTTAAATCAAAGTTAAGTTTGTTCAATTAAACTCATTGACTTGAGCCAAACTCTGCCTATGGGTGTATTTTTATTGTGAATAGATACTACAAATTTTTGGAAAGTAAACAAAAAGTTTATTTTTAATTTTTAATTTATTTTGTGTCACATCACGTCTCACATTTTTTATTGATAAATTTTTTAAAAAAAAAGTCAAAAAATCAACTTTTAACCAACTTTGAAAAACACCCTCACTTATTTTGACAACTAGTTTAAAAGTAAGTTTATTGACTTTTTAATTTTTTTTTAGTTCATATCACTTCTTTATTTTTTTGCATGTTTTTTTTTTTTAAATGACTTTTAACTTAGTTCTCAAAATAGGTCAATTTATCAAAAAATTAAGGCTAAATTACACCAACTGTCCCTAGAGTTTGGGATTTGTGTTACTTTGATCCATGACTTTTCAATTGTGACACATTTGACCCTGAATTTTGAATCTTATTCCAAATAAGGACAATTGAAGATACTATTGGATTTTTCGAGGGCAAATCCGTCAATTTGATAGAATATAAATTAATTTAACAAAAATAAATGTCAAAAAAATATTTTTAAATTTTTTAAAATTATTTATACATATTGAAGATAAAATTATATAAAATTGATAAATCTTCTAGACATTTTTTTTACCAAATTAATTTTTATTATGTATTTGGATGATGATGATCATGTAAAATTAATTTTTAAAAATTAATCATGTAATTTTTATTAATTTTTATCAATTTTACATAATTTTATCTTTAGTGAGTAGAAATAATTTTAAAATTTTTTTTAAAAAAAATTTGACATTTATTTTTGTCAAATTAGTTTATATTTTATCAAATTGATAATTTTGCCCTTGAAATTAAGCAATGGTATATTCAATTATTCTTATTTGAAACAAGATTTAAAATTCAAGGTCAAATATGTCACAATTAAAAAATTAAGAATTAAAATAATGTGAATCTCAAATTATAAGTACAATTGTGCAAAACTATAAGAAAACGGCCAAAACATAGCTACATTTTCATGCGACTAAATTATATTTTTCATGTGACTAAATTATATTTGTTTAAGAGATTGAAATTCACAACTTCCATTTTACAAATTGTTTCATAATTGGTATTATTAAGCAATTGAATAGTAATTTAGTTGACAAATGAAATAGAGTGAATAAAACATTTGATTTCACTAAGTGGATGAGAGTATTTGAGTTATTTAGTACAATTTTTTATTACACATTTTTTCATAAAAAGTCAAAAAGTTAACCCAAACATCCATATTTTCTTCCTCAATTTTTTAGTCCAAAAAGACAAAAAGTACACTTATTTAGGACACCCCAAACAACCCCTAAATTATATTTGTTTAAGAGATTGAAATTCACAACTTCCATTTTACAAATTGTTTCATAATTGGTATTATTACACAATTGAATAGTAATTTAGTTGACAAATGAAATAGAGTGAATAAAACATTTGATTTCACTAAGTGGATGAGAGTATTTGAGTTATTTAGGTTTCGTTTGGCATGAGTTATTTTGTTTAAATTAGTTAATAAAGGTAAAATAGATTAATTTAGTTAATAAGATAAAATATTATATTCAAATTATAATAATTTTCTTTTTTCACTCACAACCATCAATCAATTATAATAAGATTAAAAATAAAACAAAACAAAACAAAATTTATCTATAATATAATGTTTTTAATCTGATTAAAATAGTCAAAAAAATAAAAAAATAAGGTTAAATTAGTTCACCCTAAAGGACGGGTTTATTACCGTGTTAAAGCAGGACGATTTTTGAATGTTCAACATATTTTACTAAGACATTTAGATAGCTCAGATTTGTTCAAATCATAAAACAATGACTGAGATATATTTTTTTTAAAATGTCCTATATTTACATTTTCTACTTTCCCACTTCTCTCTCTGACTTTTTCCTTTTCTCACCCATCTTTTCATGATCTCATGATCACACCTTCCTTCCTCCCTCTTTTATTTTTATTTTATTTTTGTTTTCTCTCATTTTTATTTTTCTCTCTATTTGTTCATTTTTTTTATTTTCTTATTTTTTTTCACTTATTTTTATTCACTTTATACCTTTAGGTACGAACATACACTAGTACTTCAATAAAACACATTAATTTGAAAAATAAATTTAAGTTTTGGTTCACGAAAAAAATTCAAATCACTCACGACCCTATTATAACAAATTTTTGTTTTATTTTTATTTGGGGCACTTAATAGTAAGGCCAAGTTTGGGGTATGTAAAAAAAGTCAAAAAGTAAAAAAGTTACTCAAAAAGTTAAAAAGTTAACACTATTCACCAAAAGTCAACAATTACAACTGTACAACTCTCAATCTTAATTTTTCTCTACAAACTAATTTTTACAATTTTTTATTACACATTTTTTCATGAAAAATCAAAAAGTTAACCCAAACATCCATATTTTTTTCCTTAACTTTTTAATCCAAAAAAACAAAAAGTCCACTTATTTAGAACATCTCAAACAAGTCTCATACACAAAGTTCAAATCTCATCTAATCTCAAAATAAAAACTTGCACCAATTAATCTTATATATTTTTAATTGTTATCAAAAAATCTATTTTTTTATATATAAATTTAAAAACGCTGTTACATTCCACCACTACTGGACTTCCGTCAAATGGTTGTTGGAGACTCACCAAAATATTCAATATCATCGGGCAGTTCGTCAGAGTATCGTCAGGGTGTTCTGAATGTCACTGGAAGTCGTTAGAATGTCCAAAATGTTCGCTAAACATCAAGAAAATCGTTGGATATTCACTAGAATGTCCAGAATATTGCAAAAATAAATAAATAAATAAATAAATTATAGTAAAAACACATAATAAAACGTGCTAAATATTAATAACTTGAAAGAAAAACAAATAAATAAACAATAACAACATACAACAACAATAAGAAAAATAAATATTATTTTTTAATTTCTGTAAGATTTAAGCAAACAATCTCCAATATTGATTAAATAGAAAAGCAAGTTTTGAAACTGTAAAATGTCATAGTTTCAAAGTATGATTCTATTAAGCATTTATCCTTATTAATCAAATTGAAAAACATGTTATGAAATTGTAAAATTTACAATTTTAAAAAATGTTATAAAATTGTAAAATTTTACAGTTCTAAAGCATGATTCATTTCAGCACACACAAAAAAAAAACACTAAAACTGTAAAATAATTTGTTCAAAATTTAAAAAATTTATTTATTAAAACAGGAAAATAGAAGTGTGTAGCAGATAAAAAGGTAGAAAAATTGAGAGATTAAAAGAGAAACAAATATATAGAGAATATTGTACTCTAGTAAATATTTTTGGTTTAGATCTAGTCTGTTCTCATGCAGATCTACTCAAATTTGATGTACATTTGAGTAGATCTATTTATCATCTTCATCGAAAGCTTGTCTCCTTTGCCGTTGGTGAGGGTGAAGTAAGGAATCAATGATTAATGGTTGTCGATGAACTTCAATCGATAGTGGTTATCGGTCGGCGGTGATTATATGTTAGAAAGAAAAAGATAAAGATAAAAAATAAGCCGTGATTACTGGTTGCCAAAAAAAAAAAAAACAAAAAACGAATGTTAAAAAAACAATACACGATAAATTTTTAAGAATATTCAAAAAAATTATGAAATTAAATACACTTTTCATCTTTTCTTTTCATCTTTTAAATAGGACTCTCAAGTAATTTACTCATTTTATTGTGTGGTTGAGGAAAAATAAATTTCAATGGCAATAGACCAACCACGCTATTGTATCCCAACAAACATGTGAGGCTAACGCACTCGTAAACATCAAATCAAAACATTCTGATTCGACCATACTTGGGTCCCACCGTAATTCTAATATTTCAACGGCGAAGATTACCCATCAAAAAGTGTAAGCAAAACATTACGGTGGACGAACACACACATGAATATATTGTTATCTTTCTTATTTAGAATACCCCAAACATTACGGTGGAATATATTTAGAATCCCAACCCGGATTCTCAAACAAATTCCAAAACCCACTTGTTAAATTGTTATCTTTCTTGCGAAATCAATCGGACCACAAAAAACCCATTTTATTGAATTTCCCAAATTCGTTTTTTGTTGTTTTCTGGGCTCCAATCGTAGCCCCAAAAACCGCAATAATTATCTTTGGAATTTGAGGTGTGGTTAGATAAGTTGAAAATGCTGTGACCTTTAAAGCGAGAAAAGAGAGATTTGGTTCCAGAAACTTGTTTTCTGATCTGGGTTTCTCTTAGAAAAATGTTCAAGCTTTCTTTGATGGCTTCTCATGGGTACCCCCCAGCTCCAGGGTTTGTGTTCCACCCTGAACTGGTTTCGGGCAGGGTCTCTAAGGTAGATAATTGGTCGATTCATATATTTGTGATTTGATTTTATTGAATTTGTATATCTGGGTATTTGGGATTTTGTTGGAATTTACTTTTATTTTATCGAGGTTGATGATGAGTTATTGTGTTGTGATGATTAGGGTTGTTGATTTATGGCAGTCATGTTGAACAATTCATTTGAGTTTGATGATATATAGGTTGCTCACATATTATATGTATATATATCAAATCTTCTTTGGTATTTTGTTTATGATTCTATTGGATATTAATTGAATAAGTTTGGTATGGGATATACTTCTGGAAATGAACTGTATCCATGCAGATACTCAGATAATTGTGGATATGCATATGATATTTTCTAAATTATCTGATATTTGAATTTAATTTTGACAAGTATTCCGTACTTTTTGGGTATTTTAAATTATGTACCATAGTAGTTTTTCAATATTATAAAGGGAAAAAAGTGAGATTAAAGAGTAGTTTACTTTATTCAGAATTTATCGAACAAACATATCCTTAGTTGTCATATATATGTCTTATATCCATATCTACACTGATAAATAAGAAGATAGAATGATATTAAAATTGGATTTTAATAACTAAACAAGCAAGTCACATACGACACTTTCACATATAACACTTTTTGTTGAGTTAATTTGTTCACTAGATAATCCCCACATTAAAGTTGGATTGAAATCATTGTTTATCTCTGTATTATATGGGACTGTGTTCCTAATCTTATATTTGGATGTCGTCCAAAACTCTTGTTAGTTTGATGTCTTTTTGCTTTAAGCAGATTCATTCCTGATGTATTTGTTATGCAAAATTTTATCGACTGAAATAAGCCCGTGATTGGTTGGATTCTTTATATCTGCAAGGCTATAGTTTTGTACCACTATTGTTGTTTCCATATCTATTCACGTGTCTTTAGTAATTTGACAGCCATGTTTTGTTGCTTTGAACTCTATTTATTTTCTCTATATATCACAGTGCCAATTTCATTATGAGATTACAACTCGTAGATATTTAATTAGTTCCGTTTACATGTTTAAGATTATCTTAGTGCACCAACCTGGTCCTAATATCACGGTGATAATGTCTTGGATGTTTAATTATGTTTCTTTAAATGATTAATGAATTCTGTATTATCTGAGGTTATTGCAGGATTGTCCACCTTTTTGTCATATTCCTGGATCGAGACATGATATGATAAGATTAGATACCCTTAATATGAGGCCACATCAGTGTGAGGAGCCATGGAAACCCATAAGTGGATTTTCAGAGACTACCCAACTTGTCAAGGTTGACTCAGCCATTACAAGGCCTGTACTTATCGATGTGCAAGGTTCATAACTGGCTACTTTCTCTTTACTTTTTACTGTTTGAATGTCATTTTACTGTTAATATTCCTATGAATTTTCATATATATGGGGAGGTTTGAAAACTATGCAAGATCAAGTGATACAATTGTCTACTCTGTGGGCCAATGCGTTGGTGATGAGCCCACTTTGTAACATGTGTGAGGTCATTTCACCAAATTCAACTAATGCTGCGAATGAATTTTTTGTTCTTATTTGTGGAAGTCACTTGTTCATTGTTAATAAATCAGTATGTCTTAATCAGATGGAGAGTTTATGTTGATAGGCTGCTTGAATTATTGATCCGAAGCTTTAGTTACTTACAAAGTTACAAGTTATTGCTATTATGTAGTAAACCAATCCACTTCCAAATATGACATTCATGAGAAGACAGTAGTGAATGTGTTAATGTCAGGTTGAGTAGAAAGAGTAACACAGAACAAAGTAGGAACCAGGCACTGGCAGAAAGAGGGTGTTGCCTGATTGGGTTATAGAAATAAATATGAGGAATACACTTGAGATTGGTTTGATCTATAAAATATGGACTATTGATTTGTGCGTCAAAGATGTAAAAGCGTCAGAATTTAGTAACATGATTCATATTTCATGTTGACAATCCCTCTTTATGTGTTGCTTACTCTTTTTTTACATTTTCGTATTGCTGTATTATGCTCTGAAATCTTATGTTCCTTAATTACTTTGGTTGCAGACACTCACCCAAACTCAGTACTGTTCAGCTTTGGGATTGCTGAACAATGCTCAAGACATGAGAAAATTATGCAGTTCCTCATGTCTGGGTCCAATGAAGTAGAAGGATGTGAACTGGATATGTCTATGCTATCTAGTTTAATGGGGCCTCAAGCATTGACAAGAAATAATCTATATGGTGCTGGGGTTCAGCCTTCCCTTATTTACCACCCAAGTAATGAATTTTATGCCCCACTGCCTCTCTTGGAGCTTATTGGGGATTTGGCCCGTAGATCAAAGATTGAACTTAACGCAGATGGACAAGTCTCATTCACAGGTGATAGCACCAAGTTGAAGGATATACTTTTAGTTGTGGCTGAGCATTACTTGTCAGAGAACTCAACTAAATGGAGAAAACAGTCAATGCTAATCCCACACTTTAATAGGTAAACATACCTGTCATTGTTTGATCTATTATCATTTATTTATAAAAGTACATGAGTTAATTGCATCCATGCTGGCGTATTCAAATGTTGTGAAGTTTGGACTTATTCCGTTTGTGCTTGTTGCACCCTTCAATTGTTAAATCAACAACTTATGCATTTGAACATGACTTTCTCTATGCTATTCTTTATATATTATGAAGGCTTGATTTGTTCATGGTGAATTTATTTGCATTCAGTAGGGTGTAAGGATATGACATGGCCTTTAGATAAGAAACCATGTTTATTATTTGTTAAAATTTATCACCTACTTCACCCACTTAAACCTACTCCACTAAACCTAACCCACTACACCCACTTAAACCTACTCCACTAAACCTACCCCACTACACCACTACCATAAGGATATGACATGGCCTTTAGATAAGAAACCATGTTTATTATTGTGGATTTTTCATTTGGAAGTGCCCTTTACTAAATTTTGGGTTAGTGATTTAGCTATTGGCTCTTGGATTGTTTATTGCTCAAAATGGATGAAATTTCTAGCATCCATCTTTCAGTCTGTGTTTCACTTCTCAATTCTTCATATTTGAACACCAATTACTCCTTAAATGGATGCTTAGTTCATCTCGTTGATGAAACTAGTAGTTCACACTCTCCATATATATATATATATAATAATATGTATACATATTTATATTAATCTTTTTCTTCCCATTTAATTGTAAGTTCAAATGAAACAGACAAACCTTGACCAAGTATAATGAACAGTGTGTCGTTATAGTTGCTGCATGCATATGTTATGCTTCAACTGCAAATTGTTCTTAATGTGGATTTATATGACACTTTTGTAGTCACTTCTTTAATTTCTTATTATTACCATTTCATGATTTACAATGTTTTTTCACAAAGCATCTCAACCATTCTATCGAACAGATTGGATTGCATTGAAGCAAGGGCTAATGTTCATGAGTCTAGTACGGTGCTTGAAAACATGAAATTTGCTCCTCTAAAGAGGTAATGACACACCATCTATTCATAAATCTTTGTGTTTTACATTTTATTGTTATAGTTCATTCAGTAATTGGGTAATATATTGTTTAGGCACTTGGTAAAATGACACAATTCGACGTCATTTTATACTTATATTCTCAGACACAAAAAATTATTCTTGAACTAGTGGCTCCATTTTTATTTTTATTTATTTATTTATTTTTGCGTTGTAAGGAAAATTTGAAGGATACAAAGATTCACTATGTAGGGATTCTAGGTTGAGGTTCACCACATAATGCTTCTTTGATTAGATAAACTTACTAATTGTTAGATTGTTCATCGAGATTTAATCATCTGGCTTGCTTAGTTCTTGGGAGTTTACCACTGTAAAAAGGTGAATATAAGGGGGGGAAAATTTAATCAAAGGACTTGGATCATTTTGTCAAGAAAAATTTTACACTTCATTAACAAGAGGGATCTAGCAGGTGGTAATTTTGATTTTTCTTAATTTGACATGGTTTGTGATGGCTAGCTAACTTGACAGCGGCTCTCTAGAGAGAATATTATAAAATATACTCGCAGATCTTCAACGTAAAGCAAAATAGAGCTTGATATGTGTTTTTTTTCTTCATCCTTAAAATCAAGTGTGGACATTTTTCATAAGCAATACCTTAGACATGGATACTTCTTTTCTTACATGTCTTTGTTTTTTTTTCTTTCTTCCCTCCCAGTCCCGAGAAAATCAAACTCAGGCCATCACCGAAGAAGAAAACAAACAAGAAAGCAGTGAGAGAGAGGGATCTTTACAAAAAGAACTACTTCCACGCATGTGAGTGTCTTCTATCAATAATGATGGACAAGAAGCGCAATGGGAAAACCGCTATGCTTTCGCTCAAGAAATCGGGTCCCGAATTACCCCAGCTCCTGATGCAGTTCTCTGCCAGCATCGCTGGGACCGGGATTGCTGTTCTTTTCTCTGTCATCTGTAAGTTAGCTTATAGTAGGGTACCTTTCTGTGCATCCAGACTCTTTAGCACCGGTTTTGGGTTTGGACTGGTTTGGCTGTCTTCGGCAGTGAATAGACTGAGGGACACAGTTGTTTACATCAACAAAAATTCGGGTAAATTGAACCTGAAAGAAGAGGAAATGATGAGGAAGCTGGACAGAAGCGTGAAGGAAGTTTTCTTTAGAGCTGCAACAGTGATGGCAGTGGCAGTGCTGAGGCTCGCATGATTTCACGGTGAAGGGTATTTTGGGAATACTGAGATGCAAAGAACTATCGAATGCAAGTGTAATGATGGTTAGGGAGGTTCACCCGTAACTTGAGTGGGACTCCTGAGTTGATTTGGTTTGAACAATAAAGATATATAGAGGGGAAAATTGACTCCGATTTTTTAACCAATTCAAGAATCCTGCCTCAAGTTTACATGAGCTCTCTCTGATCACCAGCTTAGTTAAATTTTTTGCAGGTTAATTTTGCTAACTGGGATGTATATTTGAATAGTAGTAGGATTACTTTGTTGATCTGAGAAACAAAAACTTGAAACACATACAAACTATATTGGGTGTGAAAATCGAAACACTTTATTCTAGACAATGGGTGTTGCTGAAATTTATTTTTCTTTTATTGGAAGTGTTTACTTGTGCAAATGAATTCTGAAGCAACCATCTTTACATTAGGTAAAGAAATCAATCTTCCAGCTAAATAGGGCGGATAACAGGTGCAGTTTGAAACTAATAACGATAAGATACTCCTTTAGCGGTAACCTCCTCCAAAAAATAAGGGTATACGGTTTAAGACTATTTATATCTAGTTGGAATTGGCTTTATAATATCTTACTTTTTTTTGTTAATTTTGAACATTAATTGAGGTAAGACTTTTTTTTGGATACATCGGAAAGGATTGAGGTAAGACTTTAGCATTATTTTAAACGTTTCTAATTGGATTCATTTTTAATATTGCGTAGTAAAAAATATCGTGTATTTGGTTGTTCAAAACTATATCTGGATGAATGAAAATTCAACACGCATTTTTGAATTTGTGAAAATGACTTTAGGTGGATTTCTTATACATTTGTGAAATGTGCACGTAGGAAAGGTTTGAGGATCAACATGCTAATTCTTTAGACAAGAGACTAAAAAGACACTCAAAAAGAGTCCCAAAAATTAAGGAGGGATGAGATGCCAACATAACAAATTCTGGGCAAATGCTTCAATGTTAATAACATAAAAGAATAGAAAGAGATTTTAAAAAAACAAATAAAATAAAAGCTGAAAGAGTTCAAGCAGCAATAAAAAATGATTATCAATGTAGTGCAGAATCCAATGTTTGCAGAGCATGGGGTAACTAGTCCAGCATCGCCGTGCTTACCATGAAAATTATTATCAATAAATGATACATGACAAAAAATATTTCAAAAATGAAAACATTTCAAAACGCAGAAGTGATTGCAACTATGTTTGCCAGTCATGATGCACTACAAAACATTGAAGATTGAGTGTCCTTTTTCAATATATTCAAATTTTCTTAGTACTCAAGATGGTAACTCTTTTTTAAGAAATGCAAAGAACAGATCTCTCTCATCAAATGCCGGGCTATGTAAAGCAATTACATGGCGTGAATAAAGCAAAGATACAGCAGCCAGGTCTTCTTGTTTCTCACCTTCTTAGCGTCTCAGCTGAGTACTTTTGAAACTACCCCTGCACCAACCGTTCTACCTCCCTCCCGCAAGGCAAATCTTTGTCCTGTTAGATAACAGAATAAAATAAGGCAAACATTTTCTCCGAGATTTTTACTCAACAATGTAAACCATAAATATTATTAAGGGAAAACAAACTGCTAACACTACCATAGATGTAACAGAACCTATATGTCGACATTATTTATAATATTATATTAGGTCCATAGACTGATTCAGTCCGATTGGTATGGCTTTGCTTTAAGAAAAGAGAGGCTGCCACTAGGTTCATAGAAGTAAACTGCAAGAGATAATAAGAAATAAATGAAAACAAACAGAAGTAACAATGGTAAGAAAGGTATAAGATATGCATACCCGCATCAAGAGGAACAGGCGATATGAGCTCAAAAACAGCAGTCACATTGTCCCCAGGCATAACCATCTTAACATTTTCCGGCAACTCTACTTTACCAGTGATATCTGCAGTCCTCATGTAAAACTGAGGCCTATAGTTTGAGAAAAAGGCGGTATGGCGACCACCTTCATCCTTTGTGAGGACATATATTTCTGCCTCAAACCTCTTGTAAGTTTTCACTGACCCAGGCTTGGCAATCACCTGTGCAGCAGAGGATGGTTAAGTACATCCTTCTAAAATTATTTCCAGTTTTTTGCTTATAAAACTGGGGGTTAATTTCATACATTTCACATAACATTTTCCAACACCCATCACTGTATCCACACACATCATGATCACCAATAGAAAAACATTTTAAAACTGGTGTAAGGTTAAATTAGCTTTCCTTTCAAACATATGATGAGTTGCGCGAAATTTGCATTTCAGACACATAAATTGACTGCATTATTTACAAGGTTATTCACTGTCAGCAATATGTTCTACCACAAATATTTCAGTGTGGTTTATTGGTGTCATTTACCTGTCCTCGCTGAATATCTTCCCGTTTTAAACCACGTAGAAGAAGACCCACATTGTCGCCAGCCTAGTCAAATGTAGAAGTTTCCCATAATTCAACACCCCACCAAGTGCTGTACAAAAGCCTTTGTACTATAAATGGTTTAAAATCAGTTACTTACTTGTCCAAAATCCAATATTTTCTTGAACATTTCAACGCCAGTCACCGTGGTTTTCATTGGAGCACCCTACAGTGGACAGTAAAACATTAGGGCCAACCATTCCCAAGATGAAATTTGACCATAAGATTACGGGACAACTTTCAGACAAGGATCACTACAATACAGAACAATCACAGCCCTCGGGAATGTTGCCTTAATCGGTACATGGGTTGAGGGACAAAAGCCCAAGCATTCTATACATGCATAAAACAAACAAATTTTTATTTACACACTCACCTGCATCAACCCTAAAATCTCAACATCCTCTCCAACTTTAATTGTCCCTTGTTCAACACGACCAGTGGCAACAGTTCCACGTCCCTTCACAAATAAAGAGAGTCATTTGATAGAAAACTTTGCAAGAAAAATCTTTTTAAAAAGTTGAGAAAAATTCCTAGTGCAAACCTAGTTACCTGAATTGAGAAAACATCTTCAATTGGCATTAGGAAAGGTTTGTCAAGTTGGCGTACAGGGTCAGGGATATATTCATCTACAGCATCCATTAATTTTAAAATTGCCTTCTTCCCTATTTCTTCATTTGTACCCTGCAAAGCAGACAATGCTGAACCTCGGATGATAGGTATTTCATCCCCTGGAAACTTGTAGAAGCTAAGCAGCTCTGTCAGAAATATAAGCTCGCATGAAACACTTCAAATAAAGTTTTGATGTTGCATTATCCAGCAATAGATTTAAACAAACGCAATGAACTCAAATGCCACATTACCACGGAGCTCCATTTCCACAAGCTCGAGTAACTCAGGATCATCAACAGCATCAACTTTATTTAGAAAACACACAAGTGATGGCACACCAACCTGCATTGCAGGAGAAAAAGGTCTTTCTATAGAAACTGTGTCAAGGACTAAGATGAACACTAAAAGGCACTGCCAACAATAGAGACTTACCTGTCGTGCAAGCAGAATATGTTCTTTTGTCTGTGGCATGGGCCCATCGGGAGCAGAGACAACCAGAATACCCCCATCCATTTGGGCAGCTCCAGTAATCATGTTCTACAAATCAAGCCATATTATCTAAGAAGCAAAGTATTTATTAAAACTTTTTAAAAGGTGACAGTTTTTAAAGGCAAATGCATAACACAAGCATTTTACCCCATGTGAGTAGAGGCGCCAGCCTCAAGGTGTCAAGGCTTAAGCATTTTGAATTTTTATATTTAGTAAATAAATAATGAAATATTTTAAAATGGTAAAAAAAATTTAAATTAAATATGAAGATCTAAATACATTTCTCCTTGCAGTGTTGAACATTTCACTACAGAAAAGGAGGTTAATTCTCATAGAAGGTGAAATAAACATTCTTAACTTCAGTTACCATGGCTTTCACTTGTGTTTTTTCTTGGTTGGTCATCCACTTCATTTTTCCTATGGAATATAGTTACAAAAGTGCTTCTTATTTTTAAAATATTTTAACCATGTATTAGACTAAATTTAACATCAACCCAGCACAAGCTCTCCATGTCAGTACTCCTCCTCACGTGCTTATGAGAAGAAGGCATAAAAGGTGCACTACTTATACTATGATGTGCAAACTTTTTGGGGAGTGTTGTCTAAAAATCAAAATTTCAATGCATCTTGCCTTAGCCTTGCTGTGAGGCAAGCCTCAATAACACCTTTTAAACTTTGCTAATAAGTGCATGTGTACATAATACTGTACAAACAAAATAAATATACACAATCAATTGGAACTTTGGGGATCAATACTTCTAAGCTTGTTACAGTACTTTGAATTAGATGAGGACAAGATTGGATGCAGCATTGACAACACATGCCATTTTAGGCACATGGCACACCAAGTCAATCACAATAAAACTTCTTATCATTAATTTAGTTACCTATTTTTAGTTTCAGCTAAGCTTCATTTTTTTATAAATTTATTTCCTGTGATATGCAGATTTCTAAACCACGTGTTTGGTAATACTCTTGCAAAACATTTTGTTAATAAGATGAAGAAGATATGCAAAGATAGACATTAATTAATAACACATCGCAATTAAAATGCATGCTTATATATAAGATATGATGTCAAGCCAAGTCAAACAAAGCAGGATGTTCTTTGCCAATCCTCCTGACAACTCAAATGTATAGATTAGTTTCCACAACTAATTTATTTATTCCCCAACATCCCCTGTTTGATTTATTCTCAAAGAAAATTATGTTCAATCAGATTGATTAGGTATGGTGATGCAGCAGCAGTAACAACAAAGAAGCAATAATAATGACGGTAATAGTTACAGTTACAATTATATTAATTATGATGATAAAGCAAATACAGTTATTCTTTTGCAGCAAATCCATGTCAATTAAGGCTTACTTTAACATAATCTGCATGTCCTGGGCAATCTACGTGTGCATAATGCCGCTTAGCAGTCTCATACTCCACGTGGGCCTGCAACATCAAGTCATTCCTTGTATTCAATATGGATAGATGCTTCAAAAATCTTACTTGGTTTCAAGAAGAAATATGGATGCTACACAAAATCATATGGCCTGGCATAATGGTGTAAAAAAACAATAACCCACCGTTGCAATTGTAATCCCTCTCTTTTTCTCTTCAGGGGCTTTGTCAATTTCATCAAAGGCAACAGCCTTAGCTTTGCCTTCTTCTGCTAGCACCTAGAAGAGGTGCATAACCATTTTAGAACCCAAATATCACAGCAATACAAATCATCTACAACTTTTAACTCATTATAATAACACAGTATTAGCAGTTCAAAAAATAAATTAAATAATTTAGTGAAAACAGAAGTAATCAAATTCATCAAGGCACCAACAACTGCACCTTTGTAATTGCAGCAGTCAGTGTAGTTTTTCCATGATCAACATGCCCAATTGTTCCCACATTAACATGAGGCTTTCTGCCAGCAGTGACAACATTAAAATGGTTAGCCGAACAAAGCAAACCATAAAGAATAAAAGAATATTCATTCTTCATGGGACCCAAATTATTGCATAGACTAAAACATATTTCTTCCTATTGGAGAGTTTTCAGAAGACTTGAAATGCACATAGAATCAAAAACGTCTCAAATGCTGTTCTTTCTATTGGAGAGTTTTCATTCTACATGAGGCTTTCACAAGTTGGACAATACTGAACATGTAAGATAAATTTTGGTAAAATACATATTTGAAAACCGTCTCAAATACTGTTCCGAGTTGCAATCTCATTCCCTTAGTTTACTGTTACGTTAAGAATGGCTTGTTTCCTCAACTTCTTTTTGGGTTTTAAACTTTTAGAGAGCTTCATTATTAGTAGATTCAAGCTAATTGTGCTCTCACGAGCTTATTCCTGATATTGAAAGCCCTAAATCTATGGAAAATGCCATCCAAGATGATGCTTTTTAACAAAGAACCACACACCATCACTTCTAACAACAAGAAATGCACATAGAACCAAACTTACCATAAACATCCCACCAATAGCATAAGGCAGAAATTACAGAATTGAGATAGAGAGAGAGAGAGAGATGGGGCTAATACTGAAAATGGAGAAAACAACAATCAAATCTCAATCAACCAGAGACGTAAAACAAGGTATAAAACTTACGTTCGAGTGAAAGTGGCCATGGATCGCCACCACGGAATGGGGAGCGAAGCATTATCATTTCCAGATAGAGATTCTGAGATTGAGAAAGGTGTGGAGATCGATCCTCGACACGATTGGCAGATTTGAGACGATAATGGTATCAACCTCTTCGAATTAGGGTTTCTCAGAACAACTGAAGCCATTGAACGGAGTATAGAGAGAGAGAGAGAGAGAGAGAGAGAGGGGGTTTTAGGCGATTAGGGGAGGGTTTAGGGCTTCTTCTGTATTTGTGACGAAGGGTTTTACAGAGGACTTTCGTTATTGGAATTTCGGGCTTCTTAGTTTGGGCGGTTCGTCTAGGCCCATCTCAAACGATTGAATTGATATATTGTGAATCGGCCCCGTTACGTTTGGTTATGGGCAAATAATAAATGGAAGGATAAATTACAAAGAAACTCCTGAAGCTTAATTAAAATATAAATCGTCCCATGTGATTTTAGAAATTACATTTTATTTCATAACAAATCACTTTTTTTATTAATAAACAATTAACAGGTTTTAATGATATTATAAACATGTTTCAATTAATAGGTAATTTTATTATTGTACATGATAGCAATTATTAATTTCTTTTTTTAAGTTAATTCTGTTAAATAATTTTTTTAAACAATGGAGTATTTGTAATTTTTCAAATTACAGGGAGTAATCTGTATTTTAAGTAAATCTCAAGAGGTGCATTTGTAATTTATCCTAAATAAAAAAAAGGGTAAATTATACCAGTCTATCTCTCTTCAGATTTAAAAAGATATATATCATAAATCTCATAATTTAATTCACATAATATTTAAATTTTTTTTATCAATAATTCCTTAGTTATATGAATGAATAAAGGGAAAATTGGTCTATGGTCTTTCTCTCGTGTTTAGTAATGAAAAAGATCTACAATATTATTTTACGATGTCTAATGTCCCTTAAGCCCTACACTCATATGTCACAAAGAAATTTCTCAAATCAAACCTCATTTTTTTCTTTCTCTCTCTTTCTCTCTCACTCTAAATTCTCTTCCTATACTAAATTCACCTATTCTCTTCTCTCTCATCTTTGCATTTCTCTCTCTAAAATGTTCTCTCTCTAAAGCAACAATCTTGATCTTCCAGATCATCCCTATTCTCACCACCACTGCCATGCCCATGCTCGTCTTCAATCGCTACTATCCTCATCAGAAACTTCTAAATTGAATTTAGAGTTGTGGTAGTGGTGGTTCGTCTCTATTATCATCATGGTCGTATAGAAAGGAGGCTTCTTTGATTGCAAATAAATCCATAAAGTGCCAAGCTGCTGGAGAAAGCTCTGATACTATTACTGCTACTACTTCTTTTGTGTATCAAGGCTTTTATGGTCCTTGGACTGTTGATTCCTCTGATGTTCATGTGGTACGTATTTTAGTATCCAAAAAGATAAATTTATGTGCCTATGGAGTTACTATAGTCTATGTTGTATGTTATGATTATGGGCCTTCAATTCAATCATTATAAGATGAGAAATTTACCTTGCTACAGTCATTGTATAATTTGTATTTAATTTGTGCAAGTTTCAAAACCCTGTTGTTTTTGCTAAAAAGTATATCCAAAGAAATTTTAATACTGTGTGAGAAATTTGTGCTAAAATTTCTCTAGTTTGGTTAATTTTCTTTGCCTTGTTTAATTTTTTTTTGGTGATGTTCAATTTTCTCTGAATTTTCTAGATGAAGTCAGAGAAATTTCAATTTTCTTTGGTTTGAATCCAGAGAAATCCTTTGAAAAGTCCAGAATTTCTCTAGTTTAGAGAGAATTTCTCTAATTTGGATTTAATTCTCTGGTTTGGACTAGAAAACTTCTTTGGCTTAGATTGAATTTTCTCTGGTTTGGATGACTAGAGAATTTCTTTTGATTGAATTTTCTCTGGTTTAATTTGAGGCACTTTAAACATTATGAAAATATTGAATGTCCTTTATACTATAAAATCTTAATAGCGGGACCTTAAAAAAAAAAAATCCTCATGAATAAATGATGTCATATTTTTTTACATTAATACATGTATATATTTATTTATTCTTGTATTTTAACATCATTAGCATTAGTTTCCTACATTTGGGCTTACTAAAAGAAGATGTGTGATTATACCAAAATTATAAAATTTATTATGTTCTATCTAAATCTCTTAAGAAATCAACGTAATTTGCTAGGTTGGACTATTTGTTTAGGCTTATTTATAAGTATGAATGGGCTTGAAGGAATGATTAAAGATAAAAGAAAATTAAAAATTAAGAAAAAAACATTTCGAATTTATTTTTTCTTTAAAATTTTAGGTTAGGTACATCTTCGAAAGCAAATAAAGTTGTAGTAGAAAATATATGTGTTTAGGTGCCGTTTGTTTTGACGTAAAATATTTTACTAAAAAAATTATGTTTTTGTTTTTTAACGTTTGGTTGACACTTGAAATAAAATCATTTTATTACCTAAAAAAAAAAATTGATTCAACAAAGTGTCATTTATAATTTTTTAGTGAATTAAGATAGGGCAAATTACATTAAATGCCCCTATAGTTTGGACTTGTGTCACTTTGGTCTTTAACTTTTCAATTATAACACATTTAACCCTGAATCTTGAATCTTGTTTCAAATAAGAACAATTGAAGATACCATTGCTCAATCTCAATGACAAAGTCATAAATTTGATAAAATATAAACTAATTTGACAAAAATAAATGTCAAAAAAAATTTTAAAATTTTTAAAAATTATTTCTACCCACCAAAGATAAAATTATATAAAATTGATAAATCTTTTACATATTTATTTTATTTTATTTTACCAAATTAATTTTTATTATGTATTTGGATGATGATCATGTAATAGGTGACTGTTTTTATTTTCATTAAATTAGTTTCTATTTTTTCAAAAGTCAAATATGGCGACAATTTTGATATCATTATTAAACCAATCCATTAAATAAAAAAATCAAAAACTAAAAACAATTCATATATTAAATATATCGATTACGTATTAAAAACATAACAATTACCCGTTACATGATCATCATCCAAATACATAACAAAAATTAATTTAGTAAAAAAATAAATAAATGTGTAAAAGATTTTTTAATTTTACATAATTTTATCTTTGATGGGTAGAAATAATTTTTAAAAATTTAAAAATATTTTTTTGACATTTATTTTTATTAAATTAGTTTATATTTTATCAAATTGACCACTTTGTCTTTGAAATTAAGCAATGATATATTCAATTGTCTTTATTTGGAACAAGATTCAAAATTCAGGATCAAATGTGTCACAATTGAAAAGTCAGAGACCAAAACGATATGAATTCCAAACTATAAGGACTATTGGTGTAATTCGCCTATTAAGATAGTTATTTGAAAATGTTAAATGTGTTGAAAATATAGTCAGTGAAGGCTAACTTTGTAAAAATTAACTTACAGAATTTTTAAAGATAAATCTGTGATAACCCTGTTCCGTATTGTGTTAATTGGTCCTTATTTTGAATGTGATTATGTGTTTTATATGATTTCGTGTGCCATTTGTGTGAAAATATGTGGTTTTAAATTTCTATCTGTTCACCGTAAGAATACCTGTTTGATTATCCGCTTTGGAAATTAAATTGAAGGCCTTATTGGCCGTAGAAACCGAAATTGACTACGCCATAGTAATTGGCGTAATTTTTAAAGCCTACGGTGAAATTTGATTGAAAATTGATTTGGACCAGATTAAATGGATTAAATTAATGTTATGGTGCCCAATTATTTTATATTAAAAGAATGTATTTGAGGGAGCTTTTAAAAAGGGCCATGATACACACTCAATTCTTCTTTTTGTCCATTTTGGCTGATTTAACTCTCTAGAGAGAGAGAAAGACCCGAAATTAGAGAGAGAAAAGGGAGATTATCTAAGTTTTGCTCTTGAATCTTGGAAGTCGTGAAGATTACTCAAGAATTTGCTATAGATTGTGAAAATTAAAGCTCCTTGGTGAGTATTTCATGGATTCTAGTTTGTAATTTTGTAAAATTGAAGTGGATTAATGATCAAGAGCAAGAATTGTGCCATAAGTGAAGGAATTGTGTAGTATTTGATGAATTTGAAGTCAATTGATGCATGCATGTAGGAAATTGGTATGAATTTTCATAATTGAGCACAATGTGTGTAATCCATGTAGAATTTTGGTTAAAGCTCATGTTTGTAATCACCATTTGCACCATGTAAGTTGAAATGGAAGTTATAGTCCGCATGAATGTACAATTTATGGAAATATGAGTTGAAATACATGGAATTGTTATGAAATAATTTTTAAAAATTTAAAAATATTTTTTTGACATTTATTTTTATTAAATTAGTTTATATTTTATCAAATTGACCACTTTGTCTTTGAAATTAAGCAATGATATATTCAATTGTCTTTATTTGGAACAAGATTCAAAATTTAGGATCAAATGTGTCACAATTGAAAAGTCAGAGACCAAAACGATATTAATTCCAAACTATAAGGACTATTGGTGTAATTCGCCTATTAAGATAGTTATTTGAAAATGTTAAATGTGTTGAAATATAGTCAGTGAGGGCTAACTTTGTAAAAATTAACTTACAGAATTTTTAAAGATAAATCTGTGATAACCCTATTTCATATTGTGTTAATTGGTCCTTATTTTGAATGTGATTATGTGTTTTATATGATTTCGTGTGCCATTTGTGTGAAAATATGTGGTTTTAAATTTCTATCTGTTCACCGTAGGAATGTCTGTTTGATTATCCGCTTTGGAAATTAAATTGAAGGCCTTATTAGTCGTAGAAACCGAAATTGACTACGCCATTGTAATTGGCGTAATTTTTAAAGCCTACGGTGAAATTTGATTGAAAATTTATTTGGACCAGATTAAATGGATTAAATTAATGTTATGGTGCCCAATTATTTTATATTAAAAGAATGTATTTGAGGGAGCTTTATATGATTTCGTGTGCCATTTGTGTGAAAATATGTGGTTTTGAATTTCTATCTATTCACCGTAGGAATATCTGTTTGATTATCCGCTTTGGAAAATTAAATTGAAGGCCTTATTGGCCGTAGAAACCGAAATTGACTACGCCATTATGATTGGCATAATTTTTAAAGTCTACGGTGAAATTTGATTGAAAATTTATTTGGACCAGATTAAATGGATTAAATTAATGTTATGGTGTCCAATTATTTTATATTAAAAGAATGTATTTGAGGGAGCTTTTAAAAAGGGCCATGATACACACTCAATTCCTCTTTTTGTC